ACCAAGTACCACCATAACAACAAGGATTTGAAAAGAGCTGGTTTCGGCACTGCTTGTGCTGTGAGACAGCAACACAAATGGTGTAGAGTGAAAGACTCCAACTCATTTCTGCTCAGATCAATGTGTCTCCTTGAACTGGGTCACGTCTGTGGATGGCAGAGACTGGTACAAACACCACACTATCTTTTATTACCTGCAGTTACAGCAGGCGAGCCTGGCCTTGAGCAGAAATACGCAACACAGAGAGCAAAACTAGAAAGGGAGCCTTCAAATTCACTTCTTATAAAATCTTTATACATCATAAAGCTTCTGTTAAACTGACCCTGAGTACAGTATGTGCTTTGGAGACAGTAAAAACACTAAAGGTGTCAGCTGACAGAATAAAAAGGTCTTCATGATAACAACTGAGCTCACGTCAACAGGTGGATTATTTGGCAGTGATGCAACACTGGAAACGTACTTTTTAAGAATGTCCTGTTTCTTCTGCTCTTCAGATGTCGGCAGGCCCATTGATTTCTGCCTTTGGTCGTACATCATCTTCTCTACCATACCACGTGTCTCCCCGTCCAGGTCCGACAGCTGCTCAGCAGCAGAAGAACACACAGTTAGGATGGGCAGGAAGTTGGTGCTGCAGATGTATGACAGGTAGAACAAATCTAAAGCCTTAAGCTTGACATCCTTTACCTTTGAATTCTCTGGACAGACTTTCTTGGTGTTAATTTCTGGGTCTGTGGTGACGATCCTGCTCCACCACTCCATTTTATTAATCTAAGAAATCAAAGAATACATTACAGCTCAACAACTCAGCAGTTCTTTCATTTGCTTTCCCACTGATGAAGAGACAGGAGGTCTGTTCTTACCTTTTCCAGGTGGACTGTAACAACTTTGCCATCGTCGATGAGCCAGGAGCTTTCTTCTACCTTCACCTCATTGTAAAGCGGGCCATCAATAACAGGAGGGTGTCCCTTCAGGCCCACCTTGATGGAGCGCCGCTGGAGGTCCACCACGACATCTCTACTCTTAATGCGGAACTTTACATCGAAAGGCACTACCAGCTGTAGGAAGATGTTTTAATGTATACTTAAATCCAGTTTTATTCACGGCTATCAAAACTACAATGACACAGAGTTCATGTCATGTGTAAAAATGTTTGATAGACACAAATACAAAGGAGCTGCAAGTTTAACAGAGACTGACTGAGGTGAATTCGGCCTGTAAAAGTTTAGGGGATGGACATGAGGGGGAATTTTAACAGTGACAGAAGCTTTTAGTCCCAGACTTTCTGCACGATAAGTAAAGTCCAAAGCACAAGTCAACTGATGTCACACCCTTAGAACACACTGAACATGACACACAGACAGGAGACGTAATTGAGATACAGCAGCCAGGATGTAGAGTGGATGAGAGAAAAGGTTGCTTTTCTCAATTGTGGATGCGTGTCAGCACTCTCCCCTGGAATTTACGTTATTTGGGTCCCACTGCCTGCCCTGACCTGAGCCTGATTGTGACCTTGCTTCCATGTATGTGGTGTCCACACAGACAACACTGCTGCTGCTGGCTCCTATCTTTCTACACTGAGTTTGCCTCATTTAAAAGCCTTGTGTTAACAAGTGAAAGGATTCTGTCCACAGAAACACTAGAGGGCTTTAATTTGAAACAGAAACAGGAGTGTTAAGTTAAAAACAAACATTTATTTTACAATATCATGATGTTGAGACTGTAATGGAAGGTTTAAAGTTGCTGAAATGATGCCAATCTGACAGGCGAGACTCTGAATCTCTAGATGAGCCGACACTGACCTAATGCAGGCTGTGTGAAATAAAAAGCAGGAGGTCCTGCGACACCGGACTGTGGTCCTGGCGTTAGAGGCTGGGGAGAAACTATACAGAAGTGTTAGGTCTTTGGCACTCACATCAACTTCAGACAGGGATTGTGTCCACTTGTAGTTTGGCAGGTCGGCTCCGTTTCCTGCATTGGGCTTCAGTTTATCTTTGTCCTTCTCATCCTCCTCTCCTTCTGAGTCAGACTGGGGATATAGAAATTAAGATGAGTGTCAGACACAGATTAGATTAGACTCTAGACTCAACATTTCACTCGAGAACTATCCAACTGTTCACTCACCCCCTTCTCTTTTTCTGCTTTGTCAGGCGCCTTTTCTGCATTTGCTGCTGCTTTCTCCTTTCTCTCCTCTTCTTTCTTTTTCTAAAACAGACAACACAAATAAATCAAGTAATATTCATAACAGAATGATTCAACATGTGACTGAGTATCAAGGCTCCCAGATTCCACCTTGTCAAGTTCAGACTGAAGTTTCTCTGCTTCTTCATCAGTCAGCTCCTGAATTCTGGGACCGTCGTCCATCTTCTTCTTCCTCTCTTTTTCTGCTGCTAGCTTGGCAGCTCGTTCGGCTTTTTCTTTCTTTTCCCGCTCCTGTTTCTTCAGCTTCTCGTTCTGAGACTTCAGCGCTAGCTGGCTGTGGTGGGCGAGAGCATCTTTGACTAGCTGAAAGAAAAAAGAGATTGACAGAAATGAGTCATAAATGAAAGTATACTTCTTTCAGAACATAGTATGGTACGCAAACCCAAATGTCCCAGAAGCTGCAGCAGCATTGCTCACCTTCTCTGCAGCACCAGGTTCACCACCAGTGAAGAAATCAGTTTTGCGGCGGAGGAAACTGAAAAATGTGTTTACTAACTGTTGAGAGAGAAAGAGGCCGTCACAAATTCCATCCAACAAATCAATTTGGACTTGGGCATTATTGGCACGACTGGACTATATCACAGTCCCTCTATATTTACCAGATTCATGGCTAGCTTGCAGAACATTAAATCCTCAATTTCTTCTGCCCATCCTCCGTAACTTCCTGTTATTAGCGTAACTGTCTCATCTGATTAAATATAAATATGGCAAACTACTGCATTGGATAATGCAGTAGTTTGCCATATTCTCATCTGTCTAAACCCTCTAATAATCCAAACTGTCTACTTTTATTAAAAAAGGTGGCAGAACAATTCCTAAAATAAACCCTATAAAATGAGGTTAGCAGGTACAAAAACGACATTTATTTAATATGTTGTACCCATGTAAACCAAATTCAACCGTGTAACCTACTGAATGGAGACGCAAGGTTATGGCCTGTATAGTTAAAGAGCCTATTGAACATTATATAATTACCTGTACAATAATTTATAACACCTCCTTTATCTTACTGCGAATGCTTGTAAGCGAGGTGCGCCTGCTAGCACACATGCTAGCTACATTAGCTTAATCATTAGCACGGTAGCTCAGACACGTTAGCGACACACTAACATACCTCTTGTATTCCTCCTTCGTGTTGCTGCGCCATCACAAGCAACATGCCGTCATACTTTTCCTCGTCGTCGCCCATTTTGATGGATTAATAAACGGCTGAGTAAAATGTTTGCTGAGCGAATGACAAGCAAAAAGTTCAGTTAGCCACAGTGTGAGGCCCGTAGTCACGCTGCTCACTTCCTGGAAACAAACCCCGCCCACGCTACAGTTGCCCAATCGGACGAAGAGATTTTAAATGACAGCTACAATATCCAATTAGCTGAGAGCTTTCGCTCGGGGACCAACTGAGGCGCCCAGGAAGAATTTTCTAGAGAGGAAACGAAACAAGTTTGATTTTACTGCAAATATCATCTTAAATTACTATATAATAATTTTAAAACTTAACAAAAACGTGTGCAATTCCCACAATACAATAAAAAATTATATTACCTAGGTACTTGGTGCTATGATTATTGTAATAAATATATTGTTTTTTCCTTATTAATCTAATTTTATTTCTCGCCAAATTTCACAATCACAAACGTAAATTTAGGAAATTAATTTATTTTAATTAATTCATTTTTGTATTTATGAAGAGATGGACCAATCCTTGTTGACAGTTTCTCCCTCACAAAATAAAAACGCTGTCAAAACAATAAATGCATGCAAGATCTTCAAAATTCTCAAATGACCCTTCTGTAACTCACGTCTTTATTTTAATTTTAATTTAATTTTATTGTCCTTTTTCTGTACTGGCACTGTTTTTTGTTTTCTCAGTTTTTCTGTTCAGATACATTTCAGCCCATACTGTATCTTAAAAGCTCAAAATAAGTTAACTTATAATTCAGAGTTGTATTTTTTTGGTTTAAGTCAATCAGTGTGCAACCAAAGAGACCAAACTATTCTATTTTAAACTTGAAATGATTAGCTCATTTATCAATTAGTCCACTGGCAGAAAATTAACCTGCAACAATTTTGATAATAGGTTAAAAAATTAATGTGTTTTTTCAATCAAAAAAAGTGAAACATATATGAGGATTTGCTGCTTTCTCTGTTTTATAATTCAATTATTATTATTTCAATTAATATCTTTGAGTTTTGAACTGTTGGTCAGATAAAACAAGACAACTGAAAATGTCACCTTGGGTTTTCAGAGCTCGTGATCAGCATTTTTCACTCCCTTATTTGACACACATCCATCATAATCCACATTAAATCTAAAGAAGTAGCTGAAGACATTATGAGTCACAGTATTATTAACAGTATGCTGTAAATTACAATTAGCTTTAGTGCTACTATAGATCAGTGATAAGAAACAAAGTGATAACCCCAGGTGCTACTGAATTAAATGACATAGAAAATCAAGGCATTTTAAAAAGAAGCAGCACAGTTGTAAACATAAAGACCTATAAAAAAAATCATTGTATCCTTTCATGATGCAGCTCCAAGGTGTAACTGGAGCACTGGTCAGGTGGCAGACTGTGCATTGACCTTGTCAGTCCTTGATAGACTGGTACTGGCTGAGTTAATGACTGAGGTAAACATGATAAATGTCATTCACCCCACCTGCTTTGTATTTCCCTTCCCTGTGCAGCTGCTGAGTTTAACTAGCCTTATCGCCTCCACGTGGAGGGAACCAAGAACAGTCTGCATGGGAAGTCCAGGGTCACTTTTTTTTCTTCTTAAATGCAGAGTCTTAAAAAGGCGGGTCAGTGCTAAGTTTGGTGCAAGCAGGTGACACCCTGGATGAATACAGCAGGGCCTGAGCTTGTGGAGTGAACTGGAGAGACACGTTTGTGCTTTCTGCAGCTCACAGGTCTGTTTTTTCTTTACAAAACCATTTTGTGGATACTTTTTTTCTTCATGATGTTTCCTCTGGAAGAAACATGCTCCGGTCACCGAGATCAGCATCCTCACACTATCCTTTATAACATCTTGAGCGGGAGAGAGAGTGGCTATCTCAACAACAAACTGAACCCTAGCACGGCAGCATACAGCTGCCCCTGTGAGCACAGGAGGACAGTTTGCCTGAAGGACCCAAAGGCCACCTGCCAAGTGGCCTCCAGTGTGCTGGTCAAAACCATCCGCTTTGTGAGGAGTTTACCATCCTTCAGTCAGCTTCCATCAGGAGATCAGTCATCACTGTTAAGACACTGCTGGGTTCCTTTATTTGTTCTGGGGCTTGCCCAAGACAAGATAGTGTTTGAAGTGACTGATGTGCCAAATTCAAGTATCCTTAGACAGATTCTGCTCGGACCAGGACTCACCGCAAAGGAGGCTGACCAACCAACTTTTGCTGGAGTCCACAAGTTGCAAGCGTGCCTGCATCAGCTTTGGAATCTGGACCTCAGTCCAAAGGAATATGCGTACCTGAAGGGCGCTTTGTTGTTTAACCCAGGTAAAAATCATTTTTATTCATTGTATTTCATTGGCTTATGGTTTTGTTGGATATGTGATAAAGTGATAAAGTATTTCTGATTCTGATTCTGATGAGCTTATAAAGAAACTTCTCTTTATCTGCTTCAGCTGTGCAGGGATTGAGCGCCTCGTTGTTCGTCGACAGCCTCCAACAGGAAGCTCAGACAGCTCTTCAAGAAGTCATCTACCTCTTGCACCCAGAGGACACTGCTCGCTTCAGCCTCGTCCTTCGAGCAGCCTCCACTGTTCAGACTGTCGGCCACAGCCTGGTCACAGAGCTCTTCTTCAAACCAGTCATTGGCAACACAAACATGTTACATTTATTAACAGAGATGTTGTTCATGCACTGAACATGCAAAGAGAAAGCATTACATGAGTGAGTGTTGTAAGTTTTATACACATTAAAACATTACATAAACCTTTAGATGTCCTCTTCAGCTTGGTGAAGTTCTGGTTTTGAGAACAGTGAGTGCATGACTTCTGTGAAAGCATCAACATCAGCACTTGTGGATAAATGATCTTATCACTCCCAAGTGTCCTAATGAAGGAGGAATATAAAAGCAGCATGGCCTGATCTTTGCATGACTCTTGAAATACATACACAGAATACAGCCAAGGTCGTAGCCATAGAGTCAACATCGGGGTGGACAAAATCTGACGGGAGTTCCCTTTTAATCTGACACATAAAATGCAAAGAAGACATTAACGTTTGTTGAATACACCTGTGAGCACCACTGTTAAAGGAACAAGTATGCAAGACCACTGGAATTCTTGTGCGCATAGTTGGTATGTCAATGTGTAGTTTATTAACTGAAGGTAACTTAGCTACAATAGCTAACATTAGTGACGGCAAATTGATTAGCAGCCACAAATTAACCTGTCTTTAGCAAAGATGGGTTGGGAAGGTTACTTTTGAAATGTGATACACTCTAAAAATGCTCTGTGAGGTTATTCGATAATGCCTAAAATAAAATAAGTTTTTCAGCATAAAAAATTACTTTTCTTTCATTAACAGGTTTTTAGTCAGTTGAAAACGTATTTTAAGAAGTCAAAATCAAAACATTTTTGACATTTTTAAGTAGAATGGAATTGAATTACTTTAAGTTAAGAGTTTGACCACTAAAAATTGCCATAAATTTTACATAAATATTAAGTTGATTCAACTTAATTAAGTTTTTCAAGGTCAAAACAAATCATGTTGGTTGAACTAAACCAACTGTCAGATTCTTAAAGACACATAAGATTTACTCTGTAATGCCAGACTTGGAACTAATAAAAAACTTATAACCTTAATTATTTTTTAAGTTGAACTAGTGGATTATTTTTAGAGTGTAGATTACAGATTAGTTACCCTGACAAAAATGTAATGTAGGTTATCTTACAGGTAAATTACGTCATCAAACGAATTTGATTTTCCTTCTAACAAAATTTAACTGGGCAATAAAGCTGAAAAATGTCCAGATATTAAAACATTTTATTTAACATATAAACTTTTTACTGAAAAGAATATATTTGAACGTAACCCCTGTGTAATCACCAACATTTTGATGAGTAACTGTAATTTAATTATATATTTTTCTCAGTATATAAAAACGTATATATATTTGTATACACAAAATATGTGTCAACAACAGCAACGGTGCTGGACTAAATATAGAATGATAAATGTAACAGGCTGCTTATTAACTTAGATGGATAGATGAAGCTTGAATCTCGTTTGACAGATACCTTTGGAGTTTTAATTTAAATTATAAAATATATACTGTTTTTTTTTTTTTAATTTTATTTGTTTATTTTTAAAAAATGGGACAGAACATATTAATGAACATTATCAATGTAAATATGTAAGAGATTGTAGCCAAGCGGCTAATTTCCATCCCTTGTCCCATTGGCAGGTAGGTGTTCAGGGAGAGAAAGAGAAGAGAAAGGGAAGGACATCAAAGCAAGTAGAAGTATAACAGAGGAGAATAAGGCATGGCATAACAACAACAAGACATGATAATGACAGAGCTGACAGTGTAGCTGAGCTGGGGACAACATTATATAGTTAGTGAAATTCTATTGCACCAATGCCTGTACAGTTATAAAGTGCATGTGCTGAAAATTCATATTAGGAAGTCCATAAAAAATCCACAAAAATTCATATCAGAAGGTCCATAAAGTGGGTGTTTGGTGTTAAAGGGTTTTTGCACAGGGATTATTTCTGACATCATAGTGACGGCCTGTGGAAAGAAACTGGGGTCTGCAGTGATGCCTGTTTCCTGACTCTGGAGGTGGAGGTGATAAAAAAAAGATGCATACTCTGACTCCCTCGTGTGGCCAAACGTTGCAAACAAGAAACAGACACTTCCTTTTTGTTTCACTTCATTTATTTATTGCTTTTACAGTGAGACATCAACTTAAAGATGCGTTACGGTCAAGATAAGAACCTGCCAACATATTGCAGAGTACCACACCATGGTGAGAGGCCCAAGCATTACGCTTTGGAATTTAGGAAACCTTCAGAGAAAATCTAATGTGCAAATGAAAACAATAGCTTCAGCATTCAATTAAACCAGTTTAGTGAAATAAGTAGTATAATAGGAAAGGTACAGTTTTAATGACACTGATACGTTAATCACTTTATAGTCTAGATGCACTTTCTGCCTTTTGATTAAAAACCACAGCAGCCAGTTTCACACCATTTTATCAGAACCACCTGATGCTCCTTACACACTACTGCGTCATTTACCTACTTAGAATTAAAATAAGGCACAACAGGACAGATCCTGGGTGACAAGATTGTACTCTGGGCAATTAAACCATATTAAACCAGCTGATCAAATTCCCATCAGCACCCAGGAGCAAACACAGCCTGCATGTTGGGGTTAGAAAACAGACATTTACTTCATTCGTACGCTTTGGATAATGACACGAATAAATTAATAGTTATAGTGCATGATATAACCCGAAGACTAGCTTCACACCAGCTCTCATAACGTCTCGCAATCTGAGATGTGAGTAGCAGACAGAACGGCCACAAACAGCAACTATCAAACACCAAAGCTTTCTGCTTCATATCAGCTTCATGTTATTACACTAACAATTATCTGCTTCAAAGAAAAAGTGAGATTACACTCCACACTGTATGAACATCACAAACGTCACAACAGAAAAAAACAACAACAAAATTTTGACACGCAAGAAAAATCTTAACTCAAGGTCCACTTATGTTTACTGTAGCCTCCTGCTCACCTTTCTCAGGGGACAAAAACAGATTTACTTTCTTTCTTTCCATAAGAACCCAACTTTCATATCTGTGTGTTAAATATGAAGCTACTGCCACCAGCTGATTAGCTTATCTTAGCTTAGCTTAGCTTAGCTTAGCTTAGCATAAAGACTGGAAACAGCTAGCATGACCCTGTCTACAGGTAACAACATACTCCCATCAAGACCTTCAAAGCTCATGTATTAACATATTATATAGAATTTATAATAAGCAAGGGTGGGACCAAGTCATTGTTTTGTAAGTCTCAAGTCATATTACTCAAGTCCCAAGTCAGGACAGACAAGTCCAGAATCAAGTCTGTGCGGAGTTTGCATGTTCTCCCCGTGTCAGCGTGGGTTTTTCTCCAGGTACTCCGGCTTCCTCCTACTGTCCAAAGACATGCAGGTTAATTGGTGACTCTATAGCCCTTTTAAACAGGAAATGTGCAAATTTGCAGGAAAGCCCAATCAGTCTTCTTTCAGCATTGGCAGTATAAAAACAAAATCAGGGAGTGCAGCAAAATGCCGCCTGCCTACTTTTGTTCATACATAATGTGCCTTTTTCGGGGCAATGGGGGGCGTGAGCAAGTAACAAAACGTGTCGCTCAGCTTGTGACGTAAACAGTGACATGGTAGGGAAGCCATGGCTGGTCAGTCCTTCGGCGATTCTCTTGTAAGTCAGCCCGTTCTTCGTCCCTGTCATCTGACGGTTAATGGCCTCTTCGTTTGCGAGGACAAGGAGGGCGCGCAATTCCTTGTCTCCCCAGTTGCTCATCTTTACAGTGTCTGTCAGGTTTGTGTTTCCCTCTTGCTACTAGCTGCTCGCTAATTCCTGCTATCAGCTGTTTCCTGTTAATCCACCGCCAGTGGCTCACATGTGTGGCGTCATCAACAGCTCCTCCCACAAATCATCAACAGCCCCTCCCGTTGTGGAAGGCTGCTTCAGTCTTTTTAAATTAACAGGGTTCCGCCAATATGTCTACCCTACGAGGTGGAAAATTGGGCACCTCGGATCAACTCGCCAATCCCGCTCTGTGTGTCTAAACACTCGCAGCTTGCTGGCAAAACGGCCCAACATTCGCAGAAAATCTGGAAGTGTAAAAGGGGCGTTTGTGTCAGCCCTGTGATAGTCTGGTGACCTGTCCAGGGTGTACCCCGCCTCTCGCTCAGTGTCAGCTGGGATAGGCTCCAGCCCCCCACGACCCCTAACTGGATAAACTGTTACAGAAAATGAATTAATTATTTGTTTAAACAAGTTGCATCTCAACTCTCTAGATGATGTCATATTGGTTTAAACAATTGATGACTTTGAGTATTTTTAAGTCAGAAGGCTCAACACCAAGTCAAGTCACGAGTCGAGTCTAAAGTAATGAAATTTGTGACTCAAGTCTTGCTCGAGTCCAAGTTATGTGACTTGAGTCCACACCTCTGCTGATAGAAACCAAACTGTAAAACTGACAAATTGTGGCCGAAAGACAGTCCAGTGAATAACTCTCTGAAAAACCCACAGCTTGTAGTTTTTACCCTTTGGTTTCTGAGTCGAATAAACAAACAAAACATAACGTGTTGAGCTTCGCATAGCAACAGGAACAGGCTAGCTGTTTCCTCGTGTTTCCAGTCTTTATGCTGAGCTGCAGTGTTTAACTCTCCGCAAATAAGCGAATATTCCAAAATGTCAAACTGTTCTTTGGACAGACTTCATTCTTATTTCTAGTATACTACCAGGCACACGTACAAACTCAGGATTTTCTTCTAGCCAAATATAGTTACTTCATCCTTTCACACTGATGCCACTATGCCTCTTACATAAATGAGACATTTCTGATCATTCATCAAGAATCACTGACTGTCAATATGATACATAGCGTTCTATACAGTTTTAAATCACACAAATCAGTTTAAAATCAAATCTATGACAATGACATTATGAAATGTGCCAAAAAAACCTAACTAACCTAATCCACACATCCTTTGCATAAAAACAGCAGAATCACCTGACCAGCCAAAAATAAATCAGGTTTCATGAACACAACTCAGTTCTCCTTCAAGGACGAGGGGACGGTTAATCGAGATACAATAAGAGCCATAAAGAGCTGCTGTTGATATCTGCCTGCAGGGTAAGCTCTCCACCAAGCCATCCTTCCAATACACACACAATATTCATCAAGCATAAATATCTACACACAGAGCCCTGAGTTCACTGAAGTCCTTCAGACAATGTGAATTTTCACATTTTCTTTTTCCACGGCAAAGCCATGGTCTCTACAAAGAGCTTGGCTCAGCCAGAGACTCCTGTGCAAGTAGTGTCGCCTTTCACCGTCCCATATGTGACCTTGTGGACACAGCATGACAAATAATTCAAGCATAGATCACCAGCGTGGAGCAGGATTCATGTTCTCACAGAGGTGCGAATCAGTGGGACACCTGAAGAATTAGTCTCTGAGTGAGAGGGCAAGTAGGCTGTCTGAGAACTGGAAGTGTGACCTTTAAAAAAGACAAGGAAAAACAAGGTCATTCCTCAGCGTTGATCTGGAGAGGGAACTAAGCATTAATTCTGCTCACCCTATTTACAGTGCCAGAGAACCAGAAATCATTAAGCACTCATGTCTAGGATATTCTAATTTCAAGAGGTAAAAATACGTTGGAAAGATTATGAAAATCAGGAGATCATTTTCAGACTTGGGCCAAACATGTACGCTGCTAGCACTCCCCTCTTGCAACTTCACTCCCATACAGTTGTCATGAACGGGTAAATTAGCTACAGAGACCAAAACTGTTTTTTGGACCAGGCTGTACACATGTTAATTTCTGCTAAAAAGTTGGGCATTTTAACACGGGGGTGTGTGGTGACTGACTGACTGTTTGAGGCGGCCTCAAGTGCAGTTTTTGGTAAATATTCATGTAAGTTAATGTTAGCTAGCTAATGATGGAGGAGGTAAAACAAAACATTTCATCACCTAATGTTACCTGAAGTTTGGTGTACCTGCTCGGGACATTCTGGCCTCTCCAGCTAGCAGCAGCAGCAGTAGACGCAGCAAATGGGACTTAAGCAATACTGGGAATACCTTCCTCCACAATAACTCCAAATAAACCATGATGGTTTAGTTAACAGCGTTTACAGTTCAAGAAGAGTCTGTGGAGATGAAGACTTGACACACGGCAATAGGGCTGCAACGAATAATCAATGACTAATTGACTATTAAAATAATCTATGACTATTTTAGTAGACGATTAATCGGTTTGAGTCATTTTTCATAAAAAAGTACTATACTTTTTTACATTCAAATATTGGCAGCTTTACACACTCTCCCATGACGGCGAACTAAAACCCTTTGGCGTGAGTACGAAACAAGACATTAGATGACATAATTTTTGGGTTTGGGAGAGACAGACCGACATTTAACAACATTTTAACACATTATTCGATAAAATGATTAGTCGACTTATCGAAGAAATAATCGACAGATTAGTCGACAATGAAAATAATCGTTAGTTGCAGCCCTACACAGCAATAGTAAGACTCAATATCTAAGGTGGTATTAGATATATACCTACCTATATTAGGTAATATAGATATTTAAGGCATACAGGCAAGCTGAACATTGTAATAACAACATTGTGACAGGGACAAACTCAGTGCTTCAATTACAACACATTAACTGCATCAGGCTTGGGTATGGTTCGAACATAAGAAGTAGAACGTGTGTCAGACTTGGTCCAGGCCCGGTTACTACTCTCTCGGGCTCGGGTTCTGACACAAATATGCAGACCAAGCCACCATCTAGTGCACACATGACTAAAGGATAAAAAAGTGGCCAAAAAAAACCAACTGATTCCTGAGGAAACAAAAACCATACAAGGTTACTCTGATGCTTGACGGGCAATCAAAAACCAGGTATGCAAATGTTTGACAGGGAAGAAGAACAGGGGATGTCCAGCAAAGATTTCAGTCATACCTGAAACATGACAAAGCCAATCCTTCTCTCATGTTCCCTATAGTCACTATAGCGAGAGAGATTTCTGTATTCTGTGTCTAAAACCTCTGACAGCTTGGGCCAGTTTAATTTGATGTATGTGCAGAGAGTAAGACTTTTATTTCTTTTCTGGTTTGACAGAAAAAGTTTGAGGACCACTGACTCAGACCTTTGTTTGGGGTCATGGAGTTTTAAAAGAATTTTATGTGATATACTGAATAAATTAAATATGAAAATAAAAAAAAAACAAATCTAGACATCAGGGTGCATTTGGGAGACTCAGTACTTTATTATTGGTTTTAAAATTCAGGCTACAGCCCTGCATATAGAGACATGCTATCTAACACGTTTATTATACTGCGACATCGGACAAATATTTTTGATATATCTTTGTCTCACCAGAAATAAATGGATGTTAAAAACTGAAACAGAATTTATCAGGAAGTCAAACTCTGGTACACAATGCTCGGTCAGCACTATGTGGGCAGCCACTGTTGGCACACACATGCATGTCAGACTTCCCCTGCTGTAACAGCAAAGGTTATGGAAAACAAAACTTTGTTCAAGGTCACTGACAAAATTACTGGAAATAAAATAAGTGTATGACCCACTATTCAATCTACCATTGCACATGCCATTTTCATTAAAAACAAGAGTATGAAGTACATGAGTGTACCAGTAATAAAGACAGATTTCTTACCTCCATTGGTCCTCCACATCTCTCTGGCACACTTGTCAGAGGAGGTCAGTTCTGATATTTGGATGTTTGGATTTGATTTGTAGTCATCTTTAGGAAACAAAAGAGAGTGATGGTTACTTGTTGGCTGAAAAGCAATTCTGGGATCAAAGGCAATGCTGAAATATTTGGAGTTAAGATGAGAAAAACAACTTACTGTTGTTGCTAAATGAAAAGGTATCGCTATCCCTCATTGTCTCATTCCCGCTGTCCGACAGCGTCCTGTCCATCCTGGAGACGTGCGGCCTCTTCTTTGTACTCTTCCGAGTGCTGATGCGGATGATGCCTCGCACCAGCCGACACTCTGCCTCCTGCTCGTCCATTTTGTGCTCCTCTGCCAGTGAGTTGATGAGCTGGTTGATGGCCTTGCTCTTCTTCAGAAACACAGAGTCTGAGGTGCACCTGACCAACTCTTCAATCTGATATTCAGAGTAGAGCTCCAGCAGCTTCTTAGTGATCAGAGAGTCCACGTCCTCCTCGCCATCCTCCCAGTCATCAAACCCCATAGACTCATGCAGGGATGGATGGCTGGGCTGTGTTCGAGACACAGATGGGGGCACATATGGTGTAGATTTGGGTTCAGCAACTAAACACTCTCTTGGACTGTCAACTATGACTCCAGCAATGCGGACATCCCCGAGCCAGTCTGTGCCGTCCTCTTCTTTGTTGTCTCCTGGGGTCACAGATTGGAGGCTCACCTTCTCTGGTTCGTCTGGGGAGCTCTCGTTTGGCGCCAGGAATGGGGCAAGGATGGAACGCTGGCAGACCCTATACAGGCCACAGGTGAGCACGCTGCACACAAAGGTCCTACAGCTGCTTGGAGGAGCACAGGGATTGCAGGTTTGTGTCGTTGAGGGAGGGTCAGCTGAGCCAGGAATGAAGCCAATGGTCTCAGACTCCTTTCCATTAGCATCTTTCAGGTTAGCTTTGTGGACTGGTTTTGGCTCTGGGGTCGGGAGCCTGTCTTCCACTGGGTCCACACAGCGCTCCTCATATGACGACCTCTGGCTGCTGCTCTGGCTGGGTGCATGCCTGTTGCTGCCATGCCCTGAGCTGCGTCTCAGACTGCCAGTGCCGCCGGCGGACATGACTTCCTGCCTCCAAGGTCTGAACAAGCATGAAGGAAAATACAGTTAAATGAGGTATAACTGAACGGTAAGATGGTGTTACAGTGGCATCATTAAAAACCAGTTATCAAATCTAAAATAACTTAAATCCACCTGAGGGCATTTTTCTCCAAAACAAATGTGAAACTACTATCCCCAGGTGGCAGGTAAAGTAGCCCAACTGGTTCTCTGGAGACGCACAATTAACTATTCACTGTATGATGCCATGGGGGATTTCTAAAACTGAACCTGTATGTTTCATATTCCCAAACTCAAACTGATCCTCCCGTTTGATGACCTGAAGACAGTCACGAATACCCGGATTTCCTCTCGTGTGGATTACTGTAATGCTCTGTACAAAGGCAAAGGCGGAAGGGCGATTGTGCATTAGCAGCAGCCTCCCCAAAGCTTTGGAACAGGTGACCCTTTTCAATAAAGTGCTCCCGCTCTGTGGACACGTTTAAATCTAAGCTGACGACCAACATGTTTTCTAAGGCCTTTGATTGTCCTTAAGGTTTCTGTTTTATCCTTTTCACTCATTTGTTTGTGCATGTTCTGGAGGTTTGTTATGTTGTTTCTCTTATGTTTTGCATATATATTCAGTTATGTTTTTACCAGGTATAAATCCAAAGCATAAAAAGCTTTAAAGGGGAAGTTCCGTTTTTTACAACCTGGACCTTATTTCTGGCATTAAATATGGTTGTTTACTCACCCAGATAAGTTTGGTGTCATCTGGAGTCCTTCGGAAGATATTTAGATCCGTGAGAGCCGCGTACATCCATATAGTGGGAATGATCGGGGCACCGACAATGAGGCTCTAAAGAACACATTATCTGCCGCGAAACTCGTTCATTTCACCAATATGTTTTTATGAATCGCTAGAGTTGCTTGTCATCATCATCCGGGTCATTTATACTGACCTACTAACCTCTGACCTGGATGATGTCATCGCGCCGCCGCACGCAGGATGGCTATGTTTACGGCTGAAATTGCTACTGTTAGTTTTTTGAAACATGGCTGAATATTTGTCAGATTTTGAGGTTGTGGATGACGACTTTGAATATGATGGACGTCCTTACCATTTTGAGCCAGAGTATACGGATGAGGAGCTCTTTGAAAGGAGGATGCGGAGGCAGAGAGAGGAACAGCTGGCCAGAGAACAACAAACCGCTGCACGTCCGAGAATAGATGCTAACTGGTGGCGTTCTTGTGGACAATGTTCCACTAAGCCAACAGAGGAGGAATGCCTTTGTTACTCCGAGTGGGATTTGAGGCCAGGAGATACACGTCTGGATGTCTCCAGAAATTACTGTTCCACAACTACAGAGAATTTCACTTCTATGATCAACCGTGCTGTTGTAGAGACTTTTTTTCGTGTCCTGAAAGTAAACTGGAAGACCCAGCCAAAGCCTGCAGGACCGAACGGGCAACTTTCGATTGAGTAAGTAGCCTACACACACACATAAATTGTTTATTTTCCTTGAATTTGTTTGCTTGATAAGTAAATAACTATGAGAATTTACATTTCTTTAGTTTCTTCTCATCACTTGTGTAGAACGGCCCGCACACTGCACAAAAAGCAGAGGCACTTCTTATGCAAAACGTAAATTTATTATTACATAGTGATCAGTGACAAAAAGTGAGAAACAGAAAGGTGAACATTTCGGTGGTAAAGAGGATTGTCTTTACGAATTGCCTGCCTCTGATGACATCATCCAGGTCAGACATTAGTAGGTCAGTATAAATGACCCGGATGATGATGACGATAAGCAACTCTAGCGATTCATAAAAACATATTGGTGAAATGAACGAGTTTCGCAGCAGATGATGTGTTATTCAGAGCCTCATTATCGGTGCCCCGATCATTCCCACTATATGGATGTACGCGGCTCTCGCGGATCTAAATATCTTCCGAAGGGCTCCAAATGACACCAAACTAATCTGGGTGAGTAAACAACCGTATTTAATGCCAGAAATAAGGTCCAGGTTGTAAAAAACGGAACTTCCCCTTTAAGTGGCCATATTCTCAAATAGTTCCTGGTGTGACAGGACGGCGTGTGATGAGGAATGAGGAATGCTTACAGTAATCATATCATGCTGTTATTATTACATGTATTTCCTCTCCACTGCTGTTACCATATTATGTTAGTTGACTTGTTTTACTGTAATTTGAATTGATTTGAATTGATTCATTACAACTATTAAATGAGGACAAAAATATTACACTGAAATGTTATATATATTATAAAAACAGCAAACTGCTGCATTCAAACTCCTGTGTTTACACTGTGAATCTGAATCAAGGCACACCAAATTCAATTTAAAAATCTTGGCATTTAATGTCACCCTTGATTGCTTGACTATATTACAGCAGCCCTGCATATTTTGTTTTTCTTTTTTGATACAGGCTGATCATGCACCTGTTTGAAGGTCGCACGCATGCCGTATTGGAGACAAATCTCATATGACTCTTAAGTTAACTTCAGTTATGTTTTTACCAGGTACAAATATTAATCCAGACCATAAAAATCTTAAAATGGCCACATTCTCAAATAGAGTCTGGCGTATGTGTTGAGACGGATGTTTACAGTAATCATGCAGTTATTAGCCACAGCTAATGAACAAACAACTGAACTGAAAGCAATATTTTACAGTTTTTTCCCCACATGTATTTCATCTACAATTAATTATTCTTAACTTCAATGTCAGGCTGCCGTTTGACACACATGAAGCCACAAGCTCTGTCGTGTATAAAAAAATATTTTCACTTTCATGGCGACTTGTCATCGCGGCTCTTTCCTCCATTAGAGGACTTAGTAAACATTACTCACAGTGTACACGGTGCGTCCGCCAACCTACTTCCGAATTAATGTTGTTTTCGTCCCCTTACATCAAACATGACAGTTTTTAATCCATTTTCAACGTCCCATATATTATCTCCGCTCGAAAATGTCAGTTTCAGTAAAGTTTTCGACTAAACCCGTACCTGAGCGTCAAGGTGGAGGAAAAGCTCCAGGTAGCTACAACGGGAGGCTGGACTTCCGGTTAATGCTTACAAAATAAAAAGCGAGTTAAATGTTACTCCGATTTTACCGTGTAATTGTGTATTTTACGTATTTACAACGGTGAAATTAAATCGCAAAGGCATGTAAATCATGTAGCAATCAACCAAGGGGGTCACCATCATATAAAACATTTACACGGTGAGATAAATCTCCTGCACCTAAAACCAACGGTTAACATTTACAGACCTTTATTTTGGCATTATTTCCGGTGCAATGCCGAGTTCTGTCTGCATGAAGAAGAGCAAACAATGCAATGATTTCTAAGGCAAAGTACTGTTTAAAAACTACATAACCATGATACTAACTTATGTATTTAATGTCCAGAGTGTAGGATTATTTAGTTTAGTTTAGTTTTTGTAAATAGAGCCTACAATAAACAATATTTTTTGGTATAGCGCTTGTCTAAACAAGGTTAGAAAGTGCTGCACAAAGAGCATGAAATTAAGACGACACTAATATTACAATATATTAAAAAAAAAGTTAAGCGCTGAGAAAAGAAGTGTGTACGAGGCAAAAATAGAACAAAAGGAAATAAAACACAAAAGTTGCAAATCAAAAGTACAAATCAGGCATTAAAAGGGAAATCTTCCCTATAAAAATGTTTAAGGCAATGATTTAAAAATGGGTAATGTGCTAGCCAGCCTAATCTACTCAGGCAGAGAATTCCAGAGTCTCAGGCCTTGATGGCAAAAGCCTGGTCACCTTTAGTGACTAGTGAGGGTAGGCTTGAGGATCTCAGGTCACGACTTGGAGCACTGGACGTCAGAAACTCAGCTACATAACTGGGGCTAAACCATGTTGAGCTTTAAGATATTAAAATAATCTTGGAATCAATTCTGAAGTTAAGTGGCAGCCAGTGGAGCGAGGATAGAATTGGGGTGATATGTGACCTTCGATTTGTCCCAGTTAAAATTGGAGCTGCAGCATTCTGTACTAGTTGAAGCCGAGCTACTGAAGATTTACTGATAACAGTAGTCGAGGCACGAGAATACAAAAGCATTAATAACCTTTTCTAGGTCAGTGTGTATAGAAAAGACAGAAAGAAAATATTAAAAAGTTTAAACATATTACAGGAGAGGTTAGAAGCCAAAAATGGCTTATGGAGATACCTCCCCTATTAAATAACAATAATTGCATCCATCCATCCTCTCTCCAGCAACACTTTCCAGCTCCTCCTGGGGCACCCCAAGGTGTTCCCAGGCCAGATGAAATATGTAATCCTTCCAGCGTGTTCCACATCTGCCCCGGGGCCTCCTACCAGTGGGACGTGCCTGAAACACCTCCAGCAGGAAGCACCCAGGAGGCATCCTGTTCAGATGCCCGAACCACCTCAACTGACCCCTTTTGATGCGAAGGAACAGCGGCTCTACTCTGAGCTTCCTCCAGATGAGCTTTGCCTTCCAGCTCAGTTCCCTCTTCACCACAACTGCAGAAGCTGCACCAAACCATCGATCCATCTCACGCTCCATTCTTCCCTCATTTGTGAACAAGACCCCGAGATATTTGAACTCCCTTGCTTGAGGCAGTAACTCTCTCCCAACCCAGAGGGGGCAATCCACAAGTTTCCTGCAGAGAACCACAACCTCAGATTTGGAGGTGCTGACTCTCATCCCAACTGCTTCACACTTGGCTGCAAACTGCCCCAAATCATGCTGGAGGTCATAACAATAATTATAAATTTAATTTTGTATTTACATGCTGAAATGTGTTACAAATGAATCACTGATATGCATTTTCACTAAAACCAAAACGTTATGAGGCTCCTGTTTATTAAATGAATAAATCGTTAAATTGCCAATAGGCCTATGTCTTGTTTCTTCAGACTTCAATCGTCCAATCCATCAAACAACACCAAACAAGAGTCACCAGCAACAAAAAAAACGCTGTTTGGCATCAGCAGAGCAGATTTGGCAAATTTTTCATGGGTGCAACCCACATACTCAGCTCTGCTGCTCATCCCACAAATCCATGTTCTGTAGCCTACAAATGTGGCACCATTTAAAAGGGAAATACACAGACTTTCCAACAGTATAAGATTCATTGCCAAGAAGCATTGTTACAACAAAGAAATAGTCTACCAAACACAAATTCCCTTACTTTTTGTGCTTAGTTTAGTAATGTGTAATAACGACATTTTGAGAGTAACTTGTCCAACACTGCAAACGGTCATATTGTGGATGAAGGATGCCCTTAGAGATGCTTTCATTTGATGTTGCTCCTCAGTGTATGAAGCTCGGAGACTTGTCATATAAGACCTGAACATTAGTTTGACGTGTTTTCCCAGATGCACTGGGAGGGATGGGTCCGACTTGCAACGGATCTGAGCTCCGCAGCTTTTCCTTGCTTGCTTAACATTAGTCAAGTCACCCAAAATGGCCGCCAATTTACCGGATGTAGTAGGTCTACGCTTTGGCAATTTTTGACATTTATGGGGAAAAATTAAACAAGGAAAGCGCGTGGAATATTTCCATAACTTCTGTGGATATGTATTTTCTTATGACTGCCTTTATCATAATCATAGGCTGCCTAAAATTGAATGCTTTCATACAATATATATTTTGAAAGGACTTTAACCGGAAATGCACCTTTCCTTTGTGTTAACGTTGACAACCGTTTGACCGGACGACTCGGTGTATGACAGCGTAGCTAACTAACACTAGTCACGAAAGTGTGGGGACTCTTGTTATGAGATTAATATTCATTCAGTAATTACGAAGTTTTATCGCTCTTGTTAATTTACGCATATAGCAGCTTTGGAGATAATCTTAAAGGTATGCTAACATGTGGAAGACGAGCGAGCTAACAAGCTAGCAGCGGTAACGGTATTTTGGGTTTACTGATGTTAAACAGTCCGCAGCTGGCTCAGTTGGCTCGTGTGAATGGCTCAGCTAACAAGCTAACGATGACCAGTGGGTCAAAGCCGAAGACTTTCTGGAAATAGACTTAAAGAGGAATAAGCGAAGAAGCATGGGGAGTTACAGGGATGTGATTTCAAGCACGGGCTGTTCTTTACAACAGGACATCCACGGTGTAGGATTAGCTTGTTGTCTCCGTGGATTGACGACATTTGCATCCTCCAACCGCCTCAAACACGGGCGTCGGTGATGCTGTCCACCGCTGGCCAAATGGGACAGAGCACCCAAACTTCATTATAAACCATGAAAAGCTGCGAGTATCAACAAATCGACCCCCAGGCACTTCCGACGCCCACCCCGACCCCTCCGCCTCACCAGGGACACGACGGTGACAGGAGAGAGGAGCCGAAGAGACCCAGGAGGAAATGGGAAGTTTTCCCCGGGAAGAATCGCTTCTACTGCGATGGACGGATCATAGCGGCCCGACAGACTGGGGTCCTACCCCTAACCCTGGGCCTTATTCTCATCACAAGTGGATTATTCTTTATATTTGAGTGAGTTCATGTTTCATATCAGGTCCACGATCTGTGACGTCTAAAGGACAAACATCAGTACATCTCAGATTCCCCAACAGCACAGAAATATGAGATAAACTAGCTCTATAAATAGTCACTTAATTGAATTAACTCCTGTCTGGTGTGATAGATATTCGCCGAACAGTGGAGCAGGCTCTTATGATTCATAAAATGTCATTACTTTTCCCTTAAACTAGCAATTTAGGTACTTACAGGCAATTCAAATTAAAAATGGCAGATTTCTTAATGCAGTCTGGTAAGGGTTTCCATTTACTTTGGCCTTACAATGTGTGAATATCATATGTATATTTTCATTTATCTTTGCAGCTGTTAATGAGACATGATAGTGCTCATATGCAGTTGACCCTCTTTCTCACATTACAGTGAGAAGTGTGCTCCATCTCTGTGGATTTCAGACGGTGATTAAAGCCACCGAATGTTAATTACAACTAGGTCCCCCGCTGGGTGAAAAAGTAGGCCCAGTATATGAGACAGGGCTTTGTATCTATCTTTTCGCAGCCTCTGATCTGGTCAGCATGTCTTAGTAATTTACTCTCTTTCTGTCACTGCCCCATTTCACAGCTGTCCCTTCCTGGTCCAACACCTGACCAGCTGCATACCTGTTATTGGAGGAGGCCTCTTTGTGTTCGTGCTCATCACCCTGCTCCAGACCAGCTTCACTGACCCTGGCATTCTGCCCAGAGCGACGCCAGATGAGGCAGCAGACACTGAAAAGCAGATTGGTAAGGGCCAACTCAGTCAGAACTATATGGTTGCATAAAGTGCTTTTGACTTTGATATCCAATATCATATGATTATTACAGTTTTTAGAGGTGTGCTATGCAGAATTTTCCTAAAAAAACAATGTATAGACTCATACAAAAGTCATTTATAACCCACAAGAAGTATGTGGCGGTGTATTAATCTACAGAGACCCTGCCTCCTGCCGGTATTTTCTTATTTTCCTCCTATTTCGCTATGTTCAGGACTTTCAGGACTTTCAGGATGCAACATGCAGGTGAAATCACGACTTTAATAAAAAAGGAAGCAACCAGGTGCCAGATGGTAAGCGGCACGCATCCAAAAGGAAGCAATGAAAATCTTGGATGCACCAGTCTGGGGTTAGCTTTCACGTTTGCTGGCAATACTGTTTCACTTGACAATTCCTGCATTGTATCACTATTTTCTCCCCGAGGGGTTATCCTGCCACTTTACGGGACTGAATTTAGACCACCATTGGCACTAGGACTCTCCATATGTCCCTCATACCTTCAAAAGGAAATGCTATCTCTAACCTCAAATAGCTTAAGCTCCACTCTCTTTATGAGCTACTCTCTCTGCTCAGTGGCATTCAATTATGTCACACTTCACTCTCATTAGAGCTTACACATGGTTTAGCATCAGAGCACAATCCATGTCTCAAATTGAAGGCATTGTTCTGCTAGTGTCAGCTATTTAACTCTGAAACATAAGGCACATTGTAATGAACACTCATTCTGTTGCCAGATCGTTTTAATGATGACAAATCCTAAGAAGATTTCTTGAAAAGACTCAGTTGCCATGACTCGGTGTAATGAATGTCACATTGGCAGCCATTAGTGCAGTTTTTGTAGGATAATGTGTCCTGTTGACTTCTAAAGTTTAGCCTGGAGGATTTACTTTCTCTCAATCTGTCCATTTTCCCACCACAGTTCTGTCCATCAGTTATGTTCACTGACAGTTTTAAGTCTTGCCAACAGTATCTTTCCTGTTCATATGGTGTACCTCAGTATAATGACCTCCGTGTCTAAAGTTGGCTCATGTGCACCTAGTTAACTCCTACTCATGACCAAAGCTTAGGCTGTGATGATGTAAGATGTTCATATTACCCAACTGTGCTGCTGTTGTTCCAGCTATTTTTGAAACAAAAATTCTGACATTTATTTACCTATCAGCCCGTCTTTTAGGAAATGCTCAGTCCTCTCTTATTCTTCGGCTGAATGTAATCACTGATCAGTCTGCAGTATAAACTAGAGCTCTGTCCCAATTTCATTCTAATTTAAAGCAGGTTTTGAGTAGGTATGATGTTGACAATGGAGAAGTGAGAAAATAAAGTGCATAAATAAAACTAAAAATAGTTAAAAAAAAGCTTTGAAAGTGCTGCTGAATCAGTTTGTTCCGCAATGTGGACACTACACAGTAGCTGCTTAATGTGCATGTGTCAATTCACCTGTCACTTCCTGTTGCTTTAAAGGGACAGTTCACCCCAAAATCAAATATACATATTTTTCCTCTTACCTTTAGTGCTGTTTATCAGTCTAGATTATTTTGGTGTGAGTTGTTTAGCGTTGGAGATATCTGCTGTAGAGATGTCTGCCTTTTCTCAAATATAATAGAACTAGCTGGCCCTCAGCTCAAAGTGCCAAAAAATACATTTGAAAAACTCAACAACAATGCCTCTTTACAGAAATCATGACCCGGTTACTCAAGATAATCCACAGACCTTGTTGTGAGCAGTTTCATGTAGGAACTATTTTCTTTCTACCAAACTGTATCACCCAACAGAAGAAAGCATTCATCTACTTACGGACTAGAGGCTCGTGCTCATGACAACGAAAGATGACAACATTAATGTGGTCCTCCCAGGCTGAGCTTTAACGTTAGCTAGCTCATTTGTGCTAGGTGAGCTAGCAGTAGATGCACTCTTCCTTCTGCGTCGTTATACAGTTGGCAGTGATAGTTTGGTAGAAAGAAAAAGGCAGACGTCTCTACGGCATCTCTCGGCAACCAAGAAAAATATAGATTCTGCACATAACTAGTATGTAGGAAGACTTATTACACAGTGTAACCCTTTTTACAGCAGATATTTTGGCATTTCATAGCAGGAGAAGATATTAATATGTACCATAACAAAAGTCAAGACTCGATCTGAGATTGATTGATCAGTGAATCAGATTAATGTTGTGCTGTTGTTTCTCTTTCCTGTCCGCTCCTCTGCAGACAACACTGGAAACACCAGCTATCGGCCTCCACCACGCACCAAGGAAGTCCTCATCAACCAGCAGGTGGTGAAGCTGAAATACTGCTTCACCTGCAAGATGTTCCGGCCTCCGCGCACCTCTCACTGCAGCCTGTGTGACAACTGTGTGGGTGAGCTGTGGACGCACACTGACACGCTGACATTTACACATGATAAATAATGGATCGAGGCCTAATGGGGCCACAGTGAACACGGTCCCGTTACTCTCACTCAGGCTGGACTCACTAGAATGACATATCAGCTTACTTCCTAAACTGTAGTATTCCTAAAATTACATTTAAATCAAAATGCCAGTGGTTGCACTCTCATTTATTTATGTATGTGTTTCTCTCTCAGAGCGATTCGACCATCACTGCCCTTGGGTGGGGAACTGTGTGGGAAAACGCAACTACCGTTTCTTCTACACCTTCATCGTGTCGCTCTCCTTCCTGACGGCGTTCATCTTCGGCTGTGTGACCACACATCTGGCACTAAGTACGTGTTTTTGCTCTGGTTCACAGGTGTTTTATGGTTGAAAAACAGTCAGAATCTTACTGATAATAACTGCCAACACACCTGGCTCAAACAGCACCTGTCAGTAAACTCTAAGTGTTTGTTTTGTCTCGCTTTGTCTCGCCAGACGGGCGGGGTTTACCACATTAGAGCAGGTTACTACTACAGGAACTTCTTCTCTTTAAAGGCCTTGTGTCAGTGTTGTTTTTTACCTCTCTTTCAGGGGCTCAGGGTGGCAAAGGCCTGGTGTTTGCTCTACAAGAGAGTCCAGGCAGATATCCTTTAAATCACAAATGCGTTAAGATTTCTGTCAGTGAGTCTGCTTTGTTTCTCTCTCTACAAATATACTGACGCTCTCCTTGACTCAACCTTTCACCGCAGTGGAGCTGGTGATATGTTTCTTCTCAGTTTGGTCCATCTTGGGCCTCTCAGGCTTCCATACATACCTGGTTGCTTCCAACCTGACCACCAATGAAGATGTGAGTGCTGGAAGTTGTTACACTACAATTGCAGAGTTGTGACAGGGATTTGCTTGGTGTCTTGTGGGACAGAATTAAGACAATTTGTAATAGTTGTTTCATGAAATGCACATGAAAACTGTGTCAAGTAATAATGGATAAGCCTTTCTTTGCAAGTATAAAAAGTTGCAGAACGTAGTTGCATATTTCAGCTCATCTCATCGCGAATCTTTGGTCTGAACTCAGATCATCTTGCAGAAATTCTCAATCAAAAATCCAAACAAATGTATATCTTGTCTGTATCAGATCAAAGGCTCCTGGTCGGGGAAGAGTGGAGAAGGAGTCACCAACCCGTACAGTCATAGAAACATCTTTATCAACTGTTGTTCTGTGCTCTGTGGACCATTGCCACCCAGGTTAGTCTTAAATCTCACATACTTACCCAAAACCAGGTTCTCAAATTGTGAAAAATGCCTTTTTTCCATCAGCTTTCATCATTAAGGACACATGAAATAGAAGAGGAACATGCACGCCAGACGACTCAAATCTTCCTTGCTTCTGTCTTTTTCAGCTTGATTGACAGACGAGGTTTTCTGCCCGCAGACGAATCTGCCCAGACAGCCGGTGCGGACATCGAACTGCCCACTGTGGCCACTAAAAGCGAGATAAACGTGGTAGGAGGACCTTCCAAGCTGGCTTATGGCTTGCAGGAATCCCACTCTCCTGTGCCTGCCCTCCCCTACTCCCACCAAAACTCTTCCTCTGCCTGACAGAAGCCTTGTTGCCTGCTGTAGCTCCAACCCAGCATCTGTCTGCTGCCTGTTGTTGACTGTTATGTATGGGTTAATTTCTACTTATACTGTATTTACACAACAGTCAGAGGAAGGGTTGGGTATGAGATTTTTATTGTAACTGTCTGAGAAAATAACCCAGTATACAGTTTTTACACAGTGATTATCAGTTAGGATAAACCTCAAAGGAATGAAAACAGAGGGCTTTTTGTTATTTTTGTTGACGTAGAAGATTTATGGTGTACGCTGGCATCATTTGAATTAGTTCTTCGTTCTGTCCTTTCAGAGAGTGAGATGAGAAGATCAATATCAATCTCATGTCTCTCTGTTAAAGCTAGCCTGTTAACTTTTGCTCAACAGCAGCCATAGGGCCTGCAGGGTTCACACTAGACTCAGAAGTGCCTCGGAGCACAGCGATTTGTCTTTTGGCGTCCCTGTTTACCAATTAGGCTGTTCACTCTGGCCACAGTGTTGAGCTCTGGGACCTGCTTGCAATCTGCAGAAATAGTTATGACACTTGGTGTACTTTTAATGTGAGCACGAGCAAATCTGCAAAGAAAACACTGACAATCTTTTATGAACAATATCAAGGATATAATAAATTGGAGAATATGTCTCCCATGCTTACTTATTCCACACATTTGTAAATTGTGTCTCAGAGAGTGAGAAAGACGAGCAGACACACACATTCACACACATGAGCAGACAGACCTCTATGTGTGATTACAAAAAAGCAAAGCAGCAGAATAGTTTCTGACCAGCGCAGAGACATGTGCGTCTGGTGTGAACAGTTAGGGTGACTGCTCGTGTGACATATCAGGGTGCTTCCACATCCAGTGAGAGCATGGCATTAATATGCTGTAATAGCAAAGCAGTGTAACAGTTGCTTAAATTGAGAAGGCAGACTGACTCAGTAATGTTAATTCTGCAGCAATATCCCTTATGATCTGCTAACATTAACCTCCATAGGCTCCTGGTCTTACTCGACAAAGTAAGGCTGTAGCAGCAAAACCTCTGAGTGTGCTGAATTGAGCTTGAGTGCATTTTATTGCCTGTGATTTCATTTTCCTTTTGGACAGAGCCAGGATAGCTCCCTATTGCAAGTCTTTATGCTAGGCTAAGCTAACCGGCTGCTGGCTACAGCTTTATTAAGGTGCAGAAATGAGAGTGGTATCTATTCTTTCATCTCACACGGGGGCAAAAAAAGCACATAAGCTTGTTTTAAACAAAGCTATACTATTAGTATTGTGTGGTTGGCTGTTGGCTTTGTTAGTCTGATGAGTTTAGACACCTGCTGCGGGCGGTTCATGCACTTGTGCACAGTTCAGTTATGTTTATGTCATGGAAATGAACAAGTCAAGCTTATGGAATTCTTTGTTCCTTTAAATTAAGCAACAGGGATACCGTTTACTATATGTTTGTTATTTTTATCACGTTTGTCACATGCAGTATGTTGACTCAGGGTGGTTTATGAGGGACGAGGAGAGCAGGAGCTGTTTCCAGAGCGTCCTTCTTTCTTGTTCTCTCTGGCGGCGTGCATTATAAAAGAAACCTGGAAAGTTGTACAGCAACTTTTGTTTACAAGACTGTGGTTCAGATAGAGTTGCAGTCTGAACCACAGTACTCTCATATCGAGCGGCAGAGCAGCTGCTGTTTGGCATTTTGGAAGACAAACAGCTCTTTTATGTTTACACCAAAATAACAGGACAGCCATAAAACAAAATGTTATGACTATAACTTCTGTTCGCTGAAGGAGAGGAACAAGGTACAACACATGTACTATGAATAGCGGTATCTTTAGGTAGGTCAGGAGGGGCGTGATATCCTATAGTATCTGTGTTGTACCGAGTGAATCGACTCAAAATGAACCTTTTTTTTATTTGTGTATGGAGCAAACTGAGAGCCAGTTGAAGCCGTAGTGTGTCTAGTCTGAAATGAATTTTGTTGTCGGGTTTGATGAGTGTTTAAAAATAGTCTTTTGAATTCAGTTGATACACCGGCGAAGCTGTGAGGAAGCTTTTTCTGCGCCAACACTTTGTTTTTTATTCTGTGTTGGTTCACTTTCTCCCGTCTCATATTTACAGTCTTATTTGTTTGCATATAGAAGGTCAAAGTGCCAAATTGTGACACATCAAGCCGATCCGCATTGTTTCCCTCCATGCCTTTATGTCTTGATTTATTCATCCTGATTTTTTACATCTATTTTTAAATGTAAATATAATAAAACATGCATTTTTGTTCATGCAATTCATCATCTGTGTGTTCTCATTTTTCATTGTATTGTTTGTCCACCCTCCCAATTTCCATACTGGAGTATAAGTGTATTTTCCAAGGGAAGGAAAGCTCGCAGCAAACAGTCCCAGCGTCAGTATGCTCCCCGTGTGTCTCTTCATCCAGTCCTAACCTGGTGTTCTGTGTGGTCTGTCTCTGTGCCTGTGTCCCGCCACCAACACAAGGAGGAGAAATGTCTGGACTTTGCTCTGGTCTGCACTGGCTGATTAGCCACAGTTAGTGCAGGAAAAAGTGAAGCTTGAGCTTGGTAAGCCTGTTTAGAGAAGGGAAAACAAGCGCAGAATCTCCACGCCCACTGCTGTCTGCATGTGCTCTTCAGCTGGCTGCTGAACTCCTGCATGGCTTTAGTAATACGATGCCATGACGAATGCAGAGTGCATAATTTAACACAAGACAGTGTACTGTATGTAAAATGTATTCATAATGCATAGGTACGACTTAAGCCACTATAGTGTCAGCAGTATCTATTTTGACCTTTTTCATGCCACAGAACTGCCAGGAAATAAAAATCCTCAAAGGTGCACTGCACTTAAGTTTTTTCCGGTTGGACATGAAAAGGATATTTTAACTAGGAGGACGCTCCCGACTAATATTTTATTGAAGGGACAGTTATATATATCGTCTTACTTGCAGTGCCATTTATCAGTCTAGATTATTTTGCTTTGATTTGCTGAGTGTTGGAGATATCGGCTGTAGAGATGTCTGCCCTCTCTAAAATATAATGGAACTCAATGGCGTTCAGCTCAAAGTGCCAAAAACATTTAAAAATTCAACAGTAATGTCTTTTTGCAGAAATCATGACCTGGTTACTGAAGATAATCCACAGATCTTGTTGTGAGTAGTTTCATCTAGGAACCATTTTCTTTCCACCAAACTACACTCGCCAACTGTAGGTGACAGAAGCTAGTGATGGGCTAGTGGTGTTCTTTAGATGTGACTGAATCACTAGAATCAGTTCATTAAAAAGATTCGTTCACTGCTTGGCGGGAGAAGCCCTGACTGTGTACACCGTAGTCCGACTCAGTCTCTCTCCGTTGCTGCTGTTGCGTCTCATTACTGGCCAGCCTAACGTTTTAAGTTTGTTTATCTGGAGACTAAGTCTGTTAAAACAACGGGGAGGTGTGTGATTGTGTTCATGTGGCTTGACTCCTGGCTACATTAGCCGTTAGCTTGGAGAAAACGGTCCCTATGAAAGTGTATCGCTGAGAAGAAATGATTTGAATCACTCAGGGATCGGGGTTACGTCGTTCACTGAGTGATTTGTTCACCAAGTGATTCGTTCACCGAGTGATTCATCACGCAGTAGGCAGTCCCTCCCTGCACCCTGGCTGCCTCATGACTCACGAGTAATTCATCGTCCGCACGGACCGAATCGGCAGTTCCACTCCCGGCCTGCACGCTCGCTGCTAAACTCAACTGAACAGAGAATTGAATGAATCAGTTCCGGAAGTGATTCAGTTCAGTATGTTCACTCAACAGATTTGTTCTTGTGAACGATTCGTTCGTGAACAACACAACACTAACGGAAGCGTGCATGTACTGCTAGCTCACCTAACACCACTGAGCTTTTGAGGGCCATGTCGTCGACTCACAGTCTAGACTGATAAATAGCGCTACAGATAATGTTGTGTTCACACCAAAGACAATGGGAATTTTTCGTGTTGCATTTGTGTTGAATATTTTGTGATGACTCACTTCATAGGTGCAAATAGCTCGCATTGTACAGGCGTGAAACTGCTGAATCGATTAATGAACTTCTGCCGGTATGTCCTCAGCATCATGAGTCACTGGCGCGAATCAATCGCTTAAGTTCAGATTTTTCAAACTTCTGTGAATAAGTGTATGATGTGAAATCACGCTACTTGGTTCATTTGTGCCGCTTCACGTCGTGCCATTTCGCCAATTCGTCTACGTCAATTACATGTAATGCAAATTGTTTTATTTGCGCCTGGTGTGAATGCAACATAAGATTAAATGTGCATTTTTTATTTTGTGGTGAACTGTTTCTCTAAGATGATGAACTGAACTGTGAGGAATAAACCATTACATTTTAAGCAGCACTATATAAGGTAATACGGGGAAGCATAAATTAGAAAGTGCTGATGAAATGTGTCCTTATCTTTGGGGACATGCTGACAGCCCGCCTGGACTGACCTGGAATCAAAGCTTCTTTGTCTTCTAAAGTGGGGTGTTACAGAGCTTTCTACACGGGGCATAGTGAACCTTGATTAACAGTTAATGTTTTAAATTTGAATAAGAAATGCCCCCAAGGCTTTTTGCTCTTGACGTTCATCCATTATTCACACTCTGACTCTATTGTGGCTTCAAGGCTGAGGACATTTTAAATGTAGGTGTTTAAAGCAGCAGTAATCCTGATTTTTATGTTAACAATGAAACAAAAAACGTTGCGCGGCTCATAGTGACAAACCTGTAGAGAATTATCACCAACTCTGCAGTTCCCCTCGGCCCTATGCAGCATTTTAACCTCTTTTAGATCATTGTTTTGGATTTATGGACCACATCCTTACTGCCATCACATCAACTCACAGCAGGCAGTTGTCTTCTGTCAAAAAGCTCTGATAAACCCGCTGTGTACACTATCTACCCAGAGCCGACCGGCACTAAAACAAAGTTAGTGACTAGCTAGTGAACATAGTGGAGCATTAAGCAATGACAGGCCAAAACAAAGCTAGAAAGAGACAAGACTACAACTCTCAGCTCTTTTTCTTTTTAACTGATTGCAATGACTCGTTTTTCAGATGTTCTTCATATGATTCCCTAGGTCTAATGTCCATCCCCATGCAGATCTCTGGCATGAAACATTTGCAATCTCCTGCTTCCGACCCCTCATGTGGCCTGCTTGCACTCCTAGCTTGTCTGTGATTCATCTTGCACAGCTGTTGCTGCGTTCACTCAAGTGTTGTAACACCCTGCTGTTCACCCTGCTAACTTCACCGGCTCATCTCATCACGTCTCGTCTCTCTTCTCTTTCTCTTGCCTCCCCAGTGCACACAAGGAACTAAAGGTCTGCTGGAGTCGGCCACCCTCCCTCCGATCCTGTCCACCTCGTGTCCTCAGGGGAAACCCCAGACAGCTCATACCTGCCCGGAGGTGGTGAACCCTGACCCCTCACCGGAGCTCTCCACAAGCTGCGGGGCGCGCCACACGACTAGCTCCCAAGGCGATACCTCTCCACCGCGTCACACCAAGACTCGATCAAAGAAAAGCAAACGAGTGGCTTTGCATATTACCAACCCTTCCTTTGATGTCCCTCTTTCCCCTACCTCTCCGGACGCTGGCCCCAGCTCCAAAGCCAGGGGCCACAAAAGTGCCAGCTTCACCCCTTTGCGCTGACTGAAATGACAGCTTTCTCAAGTGAAAACACACATTGTTTGAAGCTTGCATGCTGTAACACAGTCAGATACAAGTGGTTTGAATTCAAAATCTTTATTATTTGTCGGTTGTCTGGAAGCTCGGGGTGTGTGTGAGGACGACAATCACAAAGATGTGTATTTGTTCAGTTTGTGGTGGAAATAGGAACACTAGAGATTGGGTGCATCCTCACTGTAAAGGACGCAGACTTTGTTGTAGAATGAAAAGCACATGAAAAGATGTTATTTGTCAGATAGAGGACCTGATGTGCTGACAGCGCCGTATGCCTTTCTGATGATTCTCATGTACAATCATGATTTTACCAGCATGTCAGATCCATCGGATATTGTGAAATAGTGGCTTTGATGTATCAGGTGGACGAAGTCTGGGAGCTTGAACAGCTTCGTATGGTCTTAAAGGGAAAGTCCATCCCAAACATAGAATTCACATATGTTATTTCTATAACATCATGCAGCTCTGGTTCTAGTGTGAATTTGAGCCAATTTCCCCTTAAGCTAAACAGCAGAGAGACAGTTTGTACTGGTGATGTCATCTTGAGACATGCTGGCAGTCACAGGACTCTGACAGCAGTCGTGGAGTGTTTTTTAGACTATGAGGACATTTTGCCATTCATAGCTAAAAGCTCTGCGTTCAAATCAAGCTGCTTTGGATGTACAGATGGGTGACAAATTAAAGCTCATACAGCTGGGCCTCTTTAGCAGGTTAATCTGGCGCCTGGTGGGGAGCACTGTCTAACAAGCTCCAGTAAGAGATCCAGTAACTGTGAGGGCCACAATGCCCTCCAAAGCAAAAGTGTAATTACATAGGCTATTAGGTAGAATCTGAGCTGAGACTGGAGTCCTACTTTTTGATATCCACCTTAACATATAAAACATTTTTATGTCATAAAACTGTCCACAAACATTTCTGTTGACTCCTTTTGCTACACTCTAAACAGACGACGGGCAAAAATAATTGGAGGCTGATACTACTATATTATATGTGAAACTAGACAACCTAAGGCATCCATTGCTACCAACCATGTTGGCATAGCTTGTTAGAAAAGGGGCTAACTAATGCTCCAAATTTCTGCCATGTTGTTTCTACAGTAGCCCAGAACAGACAAATCAAACACTGGCTCTAAATAGGGCCATTCGCACTTTCCTGTCAACCACCATAGCTCTCCTAGACACTTGACACATGAGATAAGTCTCAGTATCATAATATCAGTAAGCTTTTGACTCTCAACCACTTTTGTGTGACTCTTATGGCCTTTGCTTTCATCTGGCTCACTTCTATAGTGAATTACAAAGTGAAAATAAACTATTTCCCATTTTTCTGGGGACCCACTACAACTCCCTGAGGGACCTCTTGGGGTCCCTGGATTCCTGTTTGAGAACCACTGCTCTAGTGGAATTCATGGGATTTGGAGTTGTTAAGATACTGATAAACCTCGTATTTAAATCTGATTACAGATTAATGTTTATATCGTTCAAATGTAGGCCTACATATTAATAGAAGACAGACAGACAGACACCGTGCAAAATAGAGATACATTTAATCCGTATGAAATACTCCTACATACTTCTG